AGAATTCCCCAGCCAGCCATTCCCCCCCAGCCAATTCTGGGAGTTGAAGTCCACTCATCTTAAAGTGGCCAAGTTTGGACAACACTGATTTATGGAATAGGAGACCATTCGCTTTCAAGAACAAAAAATAAAGCAAGTAGGGTGGTATTAGGAAGGCATCTGTTGCCCTCCAATGGAGGGAGATATAGCCAAAACATGCGGGGGACAACTCTCTGGGCAACTTTTTTGAGCAACAGTCCCTTTCGCCATATTACTATGCACCCTCTGAAATGGATGGCAAGAATCAGTTAAAATTTGTGCTGTAATAAGTCTGTTAGTCTTTCAGATGCCATAATTGGTGACTGGTTTTTAGCAGCAAAACATTAAAAACATTCCCTTTGACTTTTCCTTCAGTTTACGACACCATGCATCTAAAGTAGATAATTGTTTAGGAGCTTGAATGTTGTGGTAAGCTGATGCTGCAACAAGCTTAAATAATGGTTTGTCATCAGAGCCGCACGTGGGAATAAAGGAAAATAAATAAATCAATCCTTTCATTATTTCCTGATTGCCAAGCGCTGTGTAAAGTATGTCGGATGGCTTTTCTGCTTGAGTAATTTAAATATGCTTGCTGAACAAGCTCCATGCAAATTCTTTAGGCACTATTGCTTACCATTGCTCCAGTTTTAGCTTGCTGTAGATTGTGCTATTGGCTTCTGGTTTGTAACTTCCCTTAGACTTGACAGATGAGCTAATTAAAATCTGCAAAAAAAGCACCCATGCAGTTTCTGCTGTCGCATTCTTTAAAACATGTTCAGTCCAAATCACTGATTTCAAACATTGGATGTTCTCCCAGTCTTGATGAAAACTAATGATCTTCCCCCCTTAAATAATGGCAACCCAATGCCAGTTCTCCGTAACCGAGAAGCTACTTCATCCTGGATTCAAAGACAATCACTTCCTTTAAAAAAAAAAAACTTGAAATAGCTTCAGAATTAAAAGTCCAAATGCAATGAGACATGGCTACATTTGGATGCTGTAGTTCCCCTGTAGAGATGAAATGGGAAGCACTGGTTAATTAGAATCTTCCTAGTGGATGAATGGTAGAGTCAAAAGAAAATTGAGAAAAATATAAACAAGTTGACTATAGCTACTGAAAAACAACCAAAGCAAGAATGGAAAACAGTGATGTAAAATGGGATGGAGGTGGGGGAAGAGGAAGAGGCTGAACAGAAAAATGCTCTTAACTGAAATACCAGGAAATGTAAAGAGTCTGGAAACAAATGCAAGTTAGCCTGGATCTATCCCCAACTGTATGCCAGGTTTTTTAAAATAACAATTCACGTATTGTCATCTAAAGATAGCAAGTGCTCAGAAATAGGCAGAGATGTGCCTGCAAAACTTGGATTGCCCATTGTTGTATCTGGAGATGAGCTACAATTAAAAATGTACATTCTGGGGATTTGGGTTTGAATTCCTTAATCAGCTCTTTGTTATGTTGTCTCTCCACACACTGTTAATTATTTATGAGATACTGTAGTTACTATTTTTGCATGTGAATAACTGGAATAGGGGTTGGGAAACCTGGATTCAAATTCCCATTCTGTCATGAGGATCTTGAGCTTCCTCAAGAGGATCTTTGTCAAGTTCCTCAACCTCATGGCCTTAAGCCTCTGAGAGGAACAGAATGCTTTTTTGAACGCTGCACACCTTCATTTTTTTCTGTTATTTTTCTATTAATGTCAATGGCCTTAACAATGAGCAGGAGTATATAGAAAAACTCCAAAATACTGAAATAATGATTGAGGTATTGCCTTATCAATTAGATTTATCCTTTGAATGCAAAAATCTAGTTTAACCTCTCTCTGTGTCTGACTCCACTGTAACTACTCCCCCACCAAAACCCCCATTCAGTCTAATTTAACTGAAGGTTACAGAAAGGATAAATCAATATGCAGTTCTGAACTCTTTTGGAGGAGGCAAGATAATGACATAGTAATACCTGTAAGTTTCTCCATTCAGGCTTTTGGGTTAGATAAAATAATTGTATCAGGTTCATGCAGTTTTCTGTGTTATTCACTTCTGCAGCATTGTGACTATCTTCATATATCCAGAACTACTGTAGAATGGCAAACTCAAAGCTTGTGGGATCTGTTCTGTTCTTATGTTAAAAACCTGAGAACCACTTAGGTTGTGAATACTAGAACTAAACAGTCCTTTTACTTAAATCCACTCTTGGTTATCCCCAGCTTTCTTCAGTTCATTAGGTGAATGAGAGTTATTTTGCTGCTGCTAAACAGAGAGCCTGATCAAGCTACTCTAGAGGATGTCCAGCGTGGATAATTGCTGTTCTTGTGGAGTTCTTTCTTAAATCAGCATCCTCCTTAGCATTACTCTTGCAAGCAAAGTGAGTTTGTTTGCAAGTGATGGTGGTGCTGGTACAAATTGATAATCCATCCATTCGTTTTAGTAGCAGCCTCTAACCAGGTGCCCTCCAAACGGGTTGGAGCTATAATTCCCAGAATTGCTAATCAGTATCCATCTATGTCAGTGTTGTCCAAACTTGGCCACTTTAAGATGAGTGGACTTCAACTCCCAGAATTCCCCAGCCAGCATGGC